CGGTCAGTACTCAGACCCACGACAACGCTGCTGCTGTTTAAGGCTTGAGGCCGCGGTGCCTCGTCCATGTTAGTGGTGTTAGCGCTGACCGTGGACAGTGGGGCCTTGGCCATCTCTTCCAAGTCCAGCAGGTTCCCAGTGGCGACCACTATGAGGGGTCAGGCATGTCAGGGGGAGAGGAGGTTCCTGTGTCCAGCCCCATCTCTTGGCCCCATCATGGAGCCTCCTGGGCTGCCCTGGTCCTGACTCCCTCTGTGGGCATAGCCTTTGTAGGCCTATCACACAGACCACCCAGAGCCCCACCCTGGTACCTCCCAAAGTAGCTGGACGATTGTCTACAGGGTGGGAACCTCTCTCCCACTCATGGTTTAGGCTGGCATTCATATTCACAACAAGTATTAAGTGTTCTAAGAGATCACACAACAGGATGTAAAGTGTATACGAAGAGATGTACACACAGGTTTATATGTCATAGGGACATATCTGGAAAAACACACACCAAACGAGTAATTTTTCCCCTTTACCTACATTTGCTAGTTTGTCTACAATGAACATGTATTATTTACTTAACAACAAAACAAATATAAAAAACCAGGTGTTTACCCCAGCCCAGGAGGGAGGGGGCCCTCTGGGTGAAAGGCAGGCCTCCTGCCATGCAGATGAATCCAGCCCCTCCCCCTACCCAAGACTCACGGCTCTTCAGTGAAGGGGCACTGTCTCGGCAGCCCCTACCTAGGACGTCTCCTCCATCTTGGCTGGCTTTCTCCCTCTTCTCCTTCTCTGTGGGACCAAGGCACAGTGTGTTGGAGCTTTCGACCTCAGCACTCCATCCATAGCCATCACTGGGCAGGGGGTAGGCTGTGGCCAATCTCAGGGGGCAAGTGTTAGGGCTCCAGAAGGGAGGAAAAAAATCTTTGCATATTTCACTTAATCCTCACAAGGACCCTGACAGAAGGAGACAACTGTTCCCATTTCTTCAGATGGGAAAACTGAGACTTAGAAGTGAATGGACCTGTTCAAAACCATAAAGCAGGCAGGTGATGAAGCTGACAGTCCAGCCCTGACTCCAGGGCCCTTATCATCCTCCCCACCCCCACTGCTCTGCCAGTCTCCTTCAATGCCCCCTCTATACCCCACCCACCCACCCACCCCATCCACAAACCAGGCTCACCTTCCTTGGATACCTGCCAAAGCTCAAAGGCGACTTTGAAGGCCTGGGCTACTGTGAGGGTGACAGCTTGGGCCTGAAAAACAGGAAGTGGGGTTGGGAGGAGGGGTATAGCGTTAGGCAGGTAACAGCAAGTCTCAACTGGAGGCCCCAGGACTCCAGGCTAGGCCCACCTTGGCTCCATCCCAGGCTCCGGAATGCCTGATGAGAGGAGGCCCCTCCCAGGTCACCAAAGCAGCCCATATGTAATGAGACCACACCCTCCCCAGGCACTTGGGGCCCCATCTTCACCACCTGCAGCCCAGTCCAGGTTCCCATGGGTATTCTAACCCCCACCTTTGCAATGGCTGTTCACCCCCACTTTTTCCCTTCCCCTTTGGGCTTCTCTAAATGCCATTAACTGTGAGGCTTACCTCCTTGAGAAGGCCTCCCTAATTACCTGAGAACTTCACACAGTAACTCAGCCTTGAGAATTAGAGAACAGAAAAGCCAGAGTTAGAAAGGGCCCCGCCACTGCTGGAATGAGCCACAGATGAAGGACAAAGGTTAGAAGCTGGTAAGTACTATGCTGGGTCAGAAGGGCTTATAACTGGATACCAGAGAGAGAGAAAGAGGCTTCTACATTTCCTGGAAGGAGCAAGATGTCAATGAGTGTCCAGGGCAGAAAACCAAAACCATACAGTGCAACAACCCACCTGTAAAAAAGGGCCACACCTTGGCCCTTAACTCCTGGGGGACTCCCATCCACCCCTTCTTCTGCTGCCAACCTCTCTGCAGCAGCATGCACCTGGAAGTGTTACCAGCTCACAAGCCTGTGTCACCCGACCGGGGTGCTCCCTAAAGGCAAGTGTGGGTCTGAACACTCCTGATTCTTAGAGCAGCCAAAGCCCTCCAGAGGTACCAGCAACGCTGGATGAGCTGCATGTGCCTGGGAGCGGGTCTCCTGAGGCCTCACACTCCAGCCAGGATCTACCCTTAGCCCACCTTCATCTCAGCCCCTTCCTCTCTGATTCCAGTTCAAGGTTAATCAGCTCAGCTTCTGGGAGTGGAAGTCCCAGAGCTCGCAGCTGTAGCTGGAAGTGACATGTCGCTTCCTTCCAAAAGCCTGTCCTGGAGAAGAAAGCACCAGACTCTTTCAAGTGCACAAGTTCAGGCCTAACCAGCCTCAGCCCCACTCCCTTCCCCTCCAACAGACAACTCAATTTAATTGAAAAATGAATCTGTGGCTACTACCTTTAAAACTCTTTTTTTTTAAATTTAAAACCCCTAAACAAGCTTACTGATCCACGCCAATTAAACTTCACGATGTATAAAATCTCATTTGAACGTCTCCGTCATTTACATTTTTCATGGAAGTACAGGCGCTTTATGGAAAAACTTAAATATGGTAATTAAGTATGAAACTCTTCACAGCTGTTTACAATTTAAGCTGTCACGTCTGAATCAAGTTTAATAGACCCAGTTACCATTGAGAATTGCCCATGAACTAAAAATATGGGCTAATTACCAGCCAGAGTCAGATCGCTATACACCCAAGAAAGGGTTGGTCACCCAATGTGGCAGGGAGATGGGAACACCATTATTTGTGCCTCCAGGAAATCTAGGGGCACAAGCCTGATACTGCTTTTGCATAAATCTGCTTATTCATTTGCATACATCCCCGCCCTTTCACCCTGAAGTTCAGAGCTGCAAGTTAAACCAAATATAACTCAAGATGCGGATACATGCAAGTGGCTGCAAGCCCAGGCCGGGCAGCCACTGGGAGCAGGGTGAGCCCTGTCTTCCCGGTGACGGCAGGAATCTGGGCACCAGCATTAGACAAAAGGACTGCTCAGGCCTGTCCTTGGAAAAGCCTTCCCTGATTCCACAGGCCAGGTGCCTGTCCCTCCTCTGAGTGCCTCTGGCCTGTGGGTCTGTCTTATTAATCTGACCCTTGCCCAGTTTTTGATGTCCTTGTCTTGTTCTGGGTAACCAGGCTGTTAGCTTCTCACAGGGGCCAGATAAACCTTAGGGCTGCAGACCTGGGCTAGGAGCCCAGGATCCAGGATCCTAGCCAGGTACACAAACCAAGTCAGGCCAGGTGCCCTGCACTGCCCTACTGTCCAGAAGCATATATCCTTGAACAAAAGGATTACCTGAGGAATGCCACTGACCCTGTGAGGAGAACAGTTCTGCCCCACCCTACCCCAGGCAGAATTAGGAGGTATCACTTTGCTTATTATCGGCCCACCTGCACTGCAACCCTGGGCTCCCCATCGATGCTCGCAATGGCACCTTCACTTCAGAGCCCAGAGGCTGAAGTGTTGGCTGAGGTCTCCATGGTGGGCAGATGGAAATGTTTCGTTGTAGAGAACCTTATTCTGGCCGTGCTCAAAAGAAGCCACCAGGGAAAGGAGGCCTGCTGGTTGTGCTGCCTGAGTTGAGCTTAACTGGTGGCCAACCCAGAAGAGGACCCCTTTCCCCTCCACCCTGGGTGGGTCATAGGCCTCTTGCTCATTCTGGCAGCCCATGGAGGAAGGGTGGGGATGTGGAGACTCTGGGCCCCTGGCCAAAAGGAAGGTGACATCAACATCCAAATTCAAGGCTCCCCTGAGGCTGACTCTACCTTGCTACTCACCCAGCCTCCAGTGACATCTGAATTCTCAAATCCCAATCAAACCACTTAATTTTGCACCTCTGTGTCTTTGCACAAGCCGATTCCTGTGCTCGAGGGCACCCACCCTCTCACCACTCTGTCCCCTGTTTCTCAGTCTGGCAAACTCCTACTTATTACTGATCCTTCAAAGCCCAGTTCAAAACGTCACCTTCTCTGTTAAGCCTTCCTGACCTCCAGCACAACTTAGCAGCCTCCACCCTAGAACAAGCCCCTGTGTTCCAGTTACTGAATCTGGGCTCTTTTCTCCCATTGCTTCCTTCCTATCTTCATGGCTAATCCCTTGAGTCCCCAGTGCCTGACACAGGGCTTAGCCTGTGACAGGCAGCAGCAAACATCTGTGGAGGTGTCTGCCAGCAAGTGGGATACATTACCTGAGGCACCCACTTCACCTTCCATCTCCTGTTCAGACACATCTTGGGATCTCCAACATGACCAGACCAGAACACACTGGCACCTTGGGCTTGGCTGAGGCCTTGGGAGCCACAAGGACACCCTCTGGCTTGGTGGTCTATTTACACCACCCTGGGCTGGGCTCTCTCTGAGGGGCCTCCCCAGGGCTCCCTGAAGGGGAAAGGCTGGAGAAGGATAAGCCACGATCTAGGCAGTCAGCCCTGACACAGATGAGAACAGGCCAAGCAAAGCAAAGAGTCTGGGCCTCAGTGTCCAGCAGAAGCCCTTCCCTCTGCCTGATGGCTCTGCTGTCAGCACCAAGCAGTGGCTGGCTGTTTTCCTCAGTATCTGACCACTTGATCTGGGGCAGGCTGGTTTCGTTCAAGCCTGTCTGAGGTCCTCTGACCTGAGGCCAGGCCTCCCTTAGCCACTGGGCCAGAATCTGCTTTCTTTTACCCCCGACCTCCCCATCCCAGAAGAAGTCTCTGCATCTTAGGAGCCCTCACTCTGCAGCAATGGCCATGGGCCAGTGGCCCCTTCCCAGTGCCTGCTCTGGTCAGTGGGGAGGAAGAGACAAACAATGGGGACACAATGAGCTTGTTCTGTGGGAACAAGGCCGTCATGGGAGAAGCCACTGCAGCAAAGGAACCTGGGGAATCACGAGGCCCTGGGTGAGTGTCTGGTGACACTGAGTCTGCAGGAAAGAAACGAGGTGCACAAAAGAAACTGGAACCTTTCAGAACAATCCTGAAGGTCACTGAGGGGACCTCATTTTGCTGAGGGGCACGCAGCCCAGAAAAGGACAGGATCTTATCCACAGTCACACAGGCTCAGGCCCCTGGTTTGTCTCCTATAGTGGTCCTTTCCAGAGACCTATGGTGGGCTGAATCATGCCCCTGCCCCAAGGTATCCACATTCTAATCCCTGGAACCTGTGAATGTTACCTTGCATGACAAAGGGGGACTCTGCAGATGTGATTAAGTTAAGGATTTTGAGATGGGGGATTATCCTGGATTACCCAGAGGACCCAATCACAAGGGGCCTTATGAGAGGGAGGCAAGAGGGTGAGTCAGAAATAGCAATGTGATGACAGAAGCAGAAAGGGAGGTGGGAAGACACTACACTTCTGGCTCTGAAGTTGGAGAAGGGGGCTCTGAGAGGAAGCAGGAAGCCTCGGGAAGGCATTTGAAGACTGTGATGTCCTGGATGTATCCGTGAAGGGCAGGGTGGTGGGGAAAGGATCTTGTCTTGTCTCCTTGGCTATAAGGACCATAGGGCACAGGGACTGGGGCTCTGAGTGTACACAGAGGTTAACAGAGGCCAATTCTAAATCAATAAATGTCAGGAATCTCCTCACAGGGGAAGATGCTCAGACTTCGGGAAGAAAAGCTTCAATGCCAAAGTCTGACTCACTCCAGCTGCTTGCCATGAAGTTCAAGAAGGCACAGAGACCACCGAGGTCCCACTTATCCCAGCTAGATGTGGTCAGGGTGGCTTGGGGATGGGGCAAGGGGCTCCTGGCTCCTCACGAGTCATGCAGGGAGAGGAAGAAACATAGGTTTAGAACCTCACTCTGCCTGACTGGCTACATCATCTTCAGCAAGACAGCTGACCTCTGTGAGGCTGTTTCTGCATTAAAAATACAAAAATAATGAAGATAGTAACAGCTCCCACCTCGCAGAGCTGTTCTGAGGACTAAGTGAGACGATACCTTAAAGATGATCCCTGAAACAGGCAAAGAGTAGGTACCAAATATGGCCATTTCCCTCTCTGCTCTGGCCAAACCAGGTCCCCTGAAGGCTCTCGCCTTCGCCTTTCACCATCAAATCACATTATAGAGAGGAAGGGGCCCAGGATGTTCACTCACTGAAAACATGGGCTTGTCACTGCCCACAGGCCAGGCTGGCCAGCTCACCCTGACAGGCTGCCCACTTGACTGCAGCCCTGCTCAGTGCCCTCAGCCCTCAGCACCACTTGGGGTCAGAGATTTCAGATTTTCTTTAATTGATGTCAGCTTTGGACTTGCCTCCCTTCTCCCCCGACAGGGCCCCCAAGGGCTGCCAAGGTGAGCCTACAGCCTGCCCGAACCGCAGCCCCTCCATACTGACCATCTTCCGCTTGCTGCAGAGGAAGGCATGGCATTCAAGATTCTCATTGTGCTGGCTCTGCGCGATGTACGCAAACACTTTGTCATGCATCTTGTCTGCAGTGCAGTAGGAGATTCTGAAAGACAAGTGGGAAGTGTCACCAGACCCTGTCACAGGGGCCTGACCACATCCAAAATGCCCTTTAGAGCATCTCCCCTGAGTTCCGGGGAGCCTGCCATCCCATTCCACGAGGGCAGGACTCTGGACCTGGCATCCAGGCCATCTATGCGGGGGGACCAGGCCAGGCAGGAAGGAGTCGGGGCAAGGAATGGAGGAAGGGCACTTCCCTCCTCTATTGAGCCACATCTCAAAATAGCAGTAGCCATTTAGGCACACCAGGCAACATTCTAGATATCACCTGACTGAATTCTCAGAGTTGTCCTCTGAAATGGGTTCTATTACTCCCCTCACTCCTCAGGTGAGAAAACTGAGGCTGTCTCAGACCACCAACCTAGATTCCAGAGGCTGTAAACACTATGCTGCCTCTTGAGGGTTTGGGTTGACCAGCTGGAAGGAGAAGCAGGACACTGCCCTGCCCTGCCCTGCCCTGCAAGGCCCTTCACCTGACCACCTCTTCCCCTACCCTACCTGTCCCTGCTCTGATCACACCCCTACCCGGAGGTCAGATGAGTTCCAGGCCCATCTCTCCCAGGGTGACTGAGACTGCTGACAAGTTCTCCTGGAGCTACGGCCGGGGTAGAGGAGCTGAGAGTAGGGCGGGGGTCTGGGAGGGAGACACAGCAGCTCCCTTCTCTTGAAACACCTGGTCCCCCTTGTCTGATCCCTCCATGCTGTCTCCAGTCATCCTGGGAATCCCAATCAGGAAAGAAGTGGCCGAGCTCAGCAGACTCCCTCACCTCATGTGGCCCCAGCTTCAGTCTCAGGCATCAACAGAGGGATGAGTACCATGTAAAACCCCAATGTGGGCAGAGGGAGGGGACACCAGGTTCCCACCTGCCTCTTCTCCATCCCAGGGGATCCAGCCTCCTGTTCTAAATGTCCTGGGTTCTTGGTATCAGTCAGCTAGATCCTGCTTTCTTTAAGCCCCAGCAAGGTGCCACCTCCCCTGAGAGGCTTTCCCAGATTTCCCCAGGCAGGCCCCTCCTTCTCTGCCCTCCTGGGAAACACTTATACTCCCTTCTATTTCCTCCTCTCCATTCCACCTTGACTGGAAGCTCCTTGAGGGCAGGGGCTGGATCTGACTCCTTACCTGGCCCAGACCTCAGCAGAGCAGGTGTTTGCAAAGTGTTGGTTAAAGGAGGCAGGTAGAATCAGGAAGGTAAGAGGAAGACACCAGATCTGGAAACTCTTAACATCATGCCCCCATCCCCAACTTAGTACTGTCTTGTGCTCTAGCCTGCTTAGCTTTCTGCTTGTAGACAAAGCCAGAGGGTGGAGGGATGCCTGCTAGATTGGGGCCTGCTGGACAGAACTCTGGCCTCAGTATTCTGGTCCCAGATCAGCCATAACCTCACCATGAGACCTAGGGCAATTCCCTCTCTAGGCCTCAACTTTCCTGTCTGGAAGACGGACCTGCGCTGTCTCTTCCAGCTCTGAAATCATACAACTGACCAGCCAAGAGAGAGGTGGGTATAGCATGAGGCTCCAAGAGCTGGGCTCTGCCTCCCTGCAAAGAGCCCCCACCCTTTACAGAGATCATCTACACTCTTGGCCTCAGACTCTGCCTGAGGCCTCCCCGGACGCCTGGCCAGATGTCCCGAGCTGAGCTGCTGCATTCCTAGCAAAAAAGGCAGTGACTGTGCAACTCTGCTCCAAGCCTGACTCAGCAGCATGCATTGGGGTGGGGGTGGGGCGGGGTGGGGGTGGTTCCCAGACCCGCTGCAACTAGTGATAAGGGCAGCAGCAGCTGCCATTTAGCCAAGCACTCATTGTGAGCCAGGATCTGTTTCCACCCACAAGTACAGATGAGGGGACTGAGGCCCCAAGGTCACCCAGACAGGAAGTGGTAGAGCCTGGATTCAGAAAGGGACTCCATCCACTGCCCTGAGTGGCAGAATGAGTATGGGCAATGCTGAGCATACCTGTAAATGGACACGTTCTCAATGAGCTGCTTGGTGATGTTGTCAGTCAGGATGATCCCCCGTGGTGACACCTTGAGAGTCACCTTCTGTAGTTTCTTCCCGCTGGCCTTGGCCTTGGGACAGACACGGGTCAGAGGAGCCTGCCTGCCTCACTTGGGACCCACCCTCGTGGGCTACACCTAGCTGCTCTAAGCCCCAGACTCAGGCCCACGTGAGGCCTCAGCTGAGGTGACTGGTAGACACGGTGGGGAAGACAATTCAGCCAACACCCTCTTCCGTAAGAACCAGGGACAAGTGCTGCTCACTGAGTACCTTCTGTCTGCCAAGCACTGGACCTTGAGTCAACCTCACAGGAGGCAGGGCTTCGCCTCAGGAGGAAATGGACTCAGGGAGGTTAAGAGACTTGCCCAAGGACACATAGCTAGGAGGGACTCTCACACTTTGGGCTGAATGTGCTATCACAACCCAGCAGGATAGGGACTCTCCGCTCCACCCACTGTACCTGCCAGGGCCTGACCTAAGGGGGCCAAGGCTCATAGGGCCTATGCTCATTCAGTGCTGGGGAGCAAATCCAGTCTTGGAGGGCTAATCTGTCCCTCAGGCCACAGGGACAGGTGACAGATTGGGTGACAGCAGTCTCCCCACTACCCGTCCCTGGCACTAAGTTACCAACCCTAGGCAGGCAGCCTGAGCTGGGGGAGGGGAGGCTGGGAGAGGCCATGGCCACAGCTGGAGAGGAGGACACAACCCTGATCCTGCCAGCCCAATGGCTCCCCTCTAGAGTCTCTAAGCTGAATGCAGAGGGACGCATGGGCAGGGAGAGCTCCGACACATTCAGTCAGGGTAACATGCGGGGATGGGTGCCACCCCAGGGAGAAGCTAGCCCTCGCCTCATGATCCCACCCAGACCGGCTCACCGTGGCCACGATCCTCTTGACTGCGGCGGCCGACAGCTCCTCGCCCTTGGGCTGCTCCACCAGTGTCATGCCCAGGTACTTGAGGCTGAAGAGCATGCCCTCGAGCAGCGTCTCCCGGGTGTCTGTCCAGTTCTCAGGCAGCTCTGGGCAGAGGAGGATGGGCTCTCAGACCCTGCTGGGCAGGACCCAACCACAGCCAGAGCTCTCAGCCTCCAATCCCTAGGAAGACCCAGCAAGGGTTCCCTGCCTCTATTATTTTTATCTTTTAATAAAGGGCTAACATTTTCCAGTACATACCAGCACCACGGTAAGAAGCTTTACATAAAATATTCTCATCAATCCTCATGACAACCTATGAGGTAAACACTTTTATCATATCCATTTACAGACAACGACACTGAGGCTCAAGGAAATCACATAACCAAGTCCACAGAGTCAGCAAGTACAACAGCCAAGATTTGAAGCCATATTTTCAAGTTCAAAGCCCAAACTCTTAATTTCAGTGCTAACACTTGCTGAGGGCAAACCACACTACTTTTCTGAGTGAAAATTCAATGCAATCCTGTGTCATTTGTGTTACTCCCACTTTCCAGATGAGGAAACTGAGGCTCAGCAAGGTGAAGTCATTAGCAAAGGCCACATATGATGAATAAAGGCCTGGAGTCAGAATTCAAAACGGGTTGGCTCCCATGGCCCCAGCCTGTTCTGCTTTCCTCCATTTGCACATCCACAGAGACTAAGAGGTAGGGAGGAGGGGACCAGCAGCGAGACAGCAGCCCAAGGACAGTGGGGGTGGGGTAAGGCTCAGTGGGGAAAGGAGGAGGTGATTGCTCAAATGACATCATATGAAGGCCACCTGATTCTGGCAGACCTGCACAAATCCCAGCTCTGGACACGAATCTCACACAGCAGGGCACAAGGAAAGGATCCTCTGGAATCTCTGACTGTGACTGAGATCAGGAAGTATAGGAAATGAGGGGATAAGCCTGGCTTACTGGGTGGGAAAGAGACCAGGAGGGAGAGTCAGAAAGAGGCCGCTGCCCCACCTATGTGGGAGAGGGCCCTGAGCAGGCGGAGGGGCAGGAGGGGAAGTGTGGTCTTCTTCAGTGGTTTTAACCACCCGTAGGATTCCTCCTCAGAGGCTGGGAAACAATGAAGGCAGAATGGAAGGCAGGTCTCCAGGGATCCTTCCAAGCCCCCTCAGAGGACAAATGAACATCCCACACCCTGCCAGTTAGGGCCCTTGGCCTGTCCCTCGTCATCCTCTCTCAGATGCTGCACTAGGAGGAATTATGAATGTACCCATTTTGCAGATGAGGAAAATGCTCTTCAGCCTCATCCACAATTTTGATAGAGCAGGATCCAGACAGGAATCAGCTTCCAGGGACCACAGAGATGGCCAGAGCCAGCTTCCCCAGACCACTTCCTGGGAGGAGAGCTGGGAGAAATCCTGTGCCCTCTGTCCCTCCATGCCTCTTCCTGCCCCTCACCCCCGGCTCTGATGGAAGAGCCATAGAAAGAAAGTTTAGGACTGGGGATTGGTGGTTCCAGGGCAACTGAGGCCCTGGCAGGGCTGTGGGCTCCTCCTAGAAGGTGCAGCCTGGTTCCGGGTTCCTGACCTGTTGGGAGGGAAAACCTGGGCCCAGGTGGCCCTGTCTGGGCTGGCGCTGCCCCTCCTAGCAACTATCTGAGAGCCCCAGTGGCTCTGTTTCCTTCTCTACCAGCCAAAAGGACCCTTGTACACCCACATCTCTCTGCATTTGACTTAAGCAAGCCACTGTCCCTCTCTGAGGCTGTTTCTTCATCTGAAAAAGAATGCATGTTTGTTTGCAGGGGGGTGGGGGGAAGAAGAGGTCACATAAGAACTCACAGATGTACCCAGACCCCCCCAGATTGAGATTCAGGTAAGCAGGAACCTGTTAACCCGTCATCCAGAGCCTGGCATACGGCTGGCACTCCATATGTGCTGAGTGAAGGAATGACCCAGACAACCCCAAGGCTCCTTTCAGGCTTGCAACACTTCCAGCCCCATCCTCAGTTCTGGCCCCTGGCCCACTGTCCCAAAAGTCCATTTCATTTGATCCTCCAAAGAGAATCAGAAAGTCCCCGAGGTGTCCCAGTCCTGGATTTGGTGATGGGAGCCCCAGAGCAACTCAGACATGGGCCTTGCTCTCAAAGGAACCAAGACTATCACCACCATCAGGCCAAAACAGAGCTATCAAGTAACATATACAACAATGACAACAAAGCAGCAGCTCTTACTATCACCTTGAACACTCACAGCTACCTTGCAAGCTGGAATTCTTCCCCATTTCACAGATGAGCAAACTGAGGCTCAAAGGACAAGTAATTTGTCAAGTTAGTTGTCTACTTGACTCTAAAGCCCAAGTTCCTAACCATTAGGCAAGACTGTCTTCCCAGGAGGCAAACTACCCTCATTTCAGCAAAAGGTCAGAGAGAAGTTCCTAGAGCCAGGTATTCTGCCCACTCCTCAACACCAAGTCCTAATTTCTGAGGCATCCCCTCTGTAGGTAGATGCCCAGACCACCTCGAGATCCATCTAAGCAACCATGGCAAACTACATGCTGCCATGCCTGTCACCTGTGTCCTTGGCAGACATTGCTAATCAATTCCAGCTCTATTCTGTCTGATTTATAGGCTTTGAACTGTTTCTAAACACAAGGCTCCAGGCAAGCAATACCAATCGATCAGAGGTGGCCTTGTTCATCTCATTATCCATCCCTGCCCCATGGCAAACATCCTTCCTCCCCCCAATTTCATGTCCCCTCTCTCTCATTTCCACCAGCTCAGCCCTTTCCTGGCCCCTCTCCAAAGCCACTTCCGCTCCCTCCATTCCAAAGGGCCAAAGCTTGCCAAGGTCACAGATGACCTCTTTGCTGTCAAAACATTTCCCAGTCCTCCTTGACCTCTGAAATGCTTGGCATTTTTCTGCACTCCTCCTTCCCTGGCCTGACCCTTCTCCTCTCCTATGGCCTCCTGGAAGAAGGCCCCGGTAGACTGGTTATCACTCATTAGCCTCAGAGACCCTCTGCCCAAACCCCTTTCCTGAAGGAGGGAACTTGTACAAGGTCACACAGCAAGTCACAGGGACCTCAGCTCTCAATCCACTACAGATAATTCCCACAATGACTGTTGGGAGTCACAGGTTCCCTAGTGTCCTCTCTCACACGACATCTCTGCAAGCACACATACCCACATGCACAACAGAGGTCCCAATCATGCAGAGCTTCTTCCCTTGATGTAACATTTACTTTCCCACTTCTGCGCCTTGCTCAAGTAGCTCCCTCTACCAGAAATGCCCTTCCCGTTGCTTGATCAAAACACCTCGCATCCAGCCTCTTCCAGGAAGCCTTCTTTGAGGCAGTAGAGCCTAGTGGTCAAGAACAAGGGCCTTAATCCTTGCATCCCAGTTCTGACACTGAGTGATCTTGAGCAAGATAATTACTTTCCCTGAGCCTCAGTTGTCTCTTCTATAAAATGGGAGAAACAAAAGTCCCCGGCTCACAGGGCTGTTTTGATCCTTTGATGAGATAATAAAATAAGATAATGAGATAATAAAATACACCAGGCCCTGCTCATGGTTATGTCTCCTGGGGCCTGGTCTCTCCTGCCAGGGGGTTCCCTTGCCTCTCCTGACCATGGATTTCCCTCTCTTCCTCCTGTAGCCACATTACCACTACCAAGCAGCTGCCTGATGTGTGCTTTCCTCTTGAAGGACTTCTGTTCCTGTCTGTTTCCCCTAGGAGCTGGTATGGAGAAGGTGTGCTCCTGCCCACTGTTGCTGTTCTGCCTCATTCTACTTCTCCTTGCCCCCCATCATGCTGCCCTCCAAGGCCCAGGTTTCCGAGATCCTCCTTCCCCTGTAGGGAACCCTGCTTCCGCTCCTGCACTTCTGGACATGAATCATCTCTTCAGTGAGGTGTAAGGTCTCGCATGCCCCACGCTCTCCCCGGAAGAAACCAGCAACTAGTAGCACTCGATCAGGTTCACTACCACGCCCACCCTGTGCACCACACAGCCGCCTCAGATAGCCACACGCTCCTTCCCAGGGGGAGCCCAGGGCTTCAGGAAGAGCTCCCAGAGGCCCGAGGCAAATACAGGCCTAAGTCCACAGCCCTGTTCCGGTCCTGGTTATTTTTGGCCTTGTGGTGGGTAATGACCATGCTATTTTAACTCTGTGATTTTACAGATGACCTGCTGTCAGTTAGCTAGGGAGGGATGGACCATATGCCCAGTCTAACTCGTGGCTGCAAACATGAGTTCTTTCCTCATTAGGGGCCCCCTGCCCAGGAGTCAGAGCTGGGCAGGGTGCCCTCATGCTCCTTCTGCTGCCCTGGGAGACTCAGCCTGGCTGGTGTCTGGAACATCAGAGCTGTAGCCAAACCCATGAGCCAGGGAGGAACCTCCAACCGGTGCCCTGGCCTCCAGCCTCCTCCTGGGTGAAAGATGACCTCATAAGCCACAGAGTGACATCTCAGAAGGGGACTCAAGCTCTGCCAGAGTGCAGCTGCTTCTCTAGGCCACAGTCTCCTTATCTAACAGATGGGCTCAGTCCCTCAGGATCGTCACCAGAAAAAAGGTTCCCCATGTGAAAAGTGCTGGGCAAATTTCAGAAGGTAAGATTATCAAAAGAAAATAATTAAAAAATGGTAACAGCAGCAGCTACCATTTCCTAAGTTCCTACTTACACTGTAAGAGAAAAACATGCTGTCAAGGTCAAAATGATGAGGTCAGGAGATGGGCTGTGAGGTTCACAGTCAATCTACCTCCCTGGTCCTCAGCTTCCTCACTTGAAAATGGGGACAGTAACAGTAGCCACCCCATGGGGCTGTTGTGAGGAAGAAATAAATATACATGAAATAGTATGAGAACCGTGCCTGGTAGATACCAAGTATGAGTGAAGTCTCATTAAAAGGGTCAAGTGCAAAGAGCTTTAATGTGTACACAGTCATTTGCAGTCTTTTATGAGAAGAGTCAAGGATATATTAAGATTCCCATTTCACAGATGAAGAAGCTCAGAGGAGTCTGGCCCTGGCTCAAAATTGACAATGCTGGGCTTTGAATCCCACAGTTGTGCTCATTACCCTCTTGCAGCCCGCTACGCCCCTTTCCATGCAAAGCGAGCCAGGCTCAGGACCACCCAGGAGGAGTGGGCATCCTTCCCTGCAGGGCCGCCAGAAAGGAGCGTCTGGCTCACTTTCGTTGGTAAGTGGATAACTGGACTTCTTCAAGCCACATACCCCTCCCGCAGCCGCCAGACCTGTGAGAAGCAGAGTCCCAGCCTCCAGTTAAATGTCCCTTGCACTTGCTGTTCCCTCTGGCTGGAATGCTGTTCCCAGATTCCTCCCTCTTTGAATTCACATGTGTGTTCCTTGTCACCTGCTCCGAGAGGCCTTCTCTGAGTCCCTGCACTGACACTCTCAGTGCCCCACCTTTATCTTCTTGGAGGGTACTATTTCCACATGTGCCACCTAACACACCACACTCAGGCTGCAGAGAAGCCAGTGCCTATGCAGACTAGGGCAGTAAGAGCTCCTGTTCCTGGCAGCCCTGCACCCACCACCGACAGGAAGTGGCCCTCAAACGGAGTAACTGAAGAGCACAGTCTACACTGCCTCCAGAGCACCCCACAGGGTGGCGCTCCAGTCACCGAGTGGAAACTGGCTTCAATCTTGTCCACTCTTTAGACTCCTTCTCACTTCTCCTAACGGTATTTCCTAGGACCTCTTCCCAAATAAATGACTTGCACTCAGATTCCTGTCTCAGCATCTTCTTCTTGAAGAACCCAAAGCCACCACCCTATCTAGGGAAGCCGTCCCATTATTTACTCATTGCTTTATCTTTTTTTCTTAGCGTCATCACTACCCACACCCCACATGCACACCACTCATCTGCACCCTGGTCATTCTGTCTACCTCCTCCACCAGATGGTAAGTGCTATCTGAAGAGAGACATACTCATTCACCAGACTCCCCAACACCTCTATGAGAGCTCAATAAATACTGTGTCTTGGGAGTTTATTTATATCTTTCACTGGAAACATTCTAAGTAAGTATGAGTAGATCCTCCATCCCCTCCCTACCACCATGAACTAGTTTTACTGAAACCTGCAACTCAGATTTCCTTAACAGTTCTCACTGAGTTCTCTGACAACCCACTGAGGAGCCTGAGGGTCACAGGGACTCCACTTAGAAATAAGGGTACTGAGGGGCCAGGGGGAGCCACCCTTCCAGGCAGCTGGAAGAAAGGAAAATCCCTGGCCAAGGACTGAGACAAAATATTTATGGTTCCTGAAGAGATGGGGAGAAAGCCATGTGTGGAAGAGGAAGAGAGGCCTCCTTGGAAGTCAGGAGTAACTGGGAGACAGGGTGCCACGAGGTTCAGTGCAAAGAAGCCTGTCTACTGCTGGCTTTGCTTGTGACTTCAGGCAAGCTGCCTCCCTTCTCTGGGCTTCGGTTTCCCCACAAATAAAACAATGATCATGCCAATCCCAGCTGAGGACCCTGAAGGGTGAGGAGCAAGTCACAGCCAATAGCAGGTGTCCAGTCTAATCCTAACTCCACTGGCTTCAGTTTGGTCCCAAACTCAACCACAGGGCTCAGAGTTTGAGGGCCGGGTCCAAGGTCTGGCTGAGATATACCACCCCAGGCCAGGCTGCCGCAGCACTCCCACCCCAGACACACCCACAGCTTCTCTCTGCTTGTGGCCACGCTTTCCTCACTGGCTACCAGCCCTGCCCTAGTCACTCTGAGGCCAGAGTCCATGGGGCAACACTTTAGACCCCTGGGCTAGGGATTTGGAGCGAGCTCTTGGAAGCTCTGTGTTGGGGCCAGTGACTCCACTTCCCTGAGACTCAGGTTCCTTTATCTGTACAATGAGTCTGCTAAGAATCCCTGCTCTGTCACCACACAGGAGCAAGTGAGATAATGGAAGCAAAAACACTGTAAAAGGTAGAGTGACAAAAGCAGCAGTTACCATTTATTGAACTCTTTCTCAAAGCCAGGCAAGCAAAACATGATTTCATTTAACCTCCCTGCCACAAAAAAAATGAGGTGGGTATTACAGCTATGGGCAATTTACAGATGAGAAAATTGACTTAATAATGAGGGACAGGTGGTGATTCCCCCAGATCATCCTGGGTGCAGAAGACTCCAGGATGGCACTCTGGGCTTACTAGCGGTCTGTGTAGGAGGAGGGGGGCTCTCCTCTCCTTTCCTCTGAAGATATAGACAGGTTCGGAGCCCCCAAAACTTGTCCCACCACATTAAGAGTCTCCTCAAAGGTTCACATGACAGTTGAGGGGAGAGGAGCAGGGGAGAAGGAAACCACCAATTAGGCGCCAGAAGAAAACATTACTGTCAATAATCTTCTCAACACCCCTGCCAGGCTAGAATTTTTATCCCAATTATGCTGATGAGGAAACTGAGGATCAGAAAGGAAGAGTGACTTGTCCAAGACCAGAGCAGGCACGAGGAACTCTTTTCTGCCACCCAAGGTGGCTACCTCTTCCCCTTCCCAATATTAAGTGGGGCTTCTAAGTTTCCTTCCCTTGCCCAGAGCCCCACCCCCTCCTTTATCCCTGGAGAAAACTGTAGGGTTTCCCCACTGGAACAGGCCATCATTCTCAGAAGTCCTGGTTAAATCCCACAAATATTTCAAGGAGTTATTCTGGGAGTCAATAAGTGTGGGAGATGGTGCATCCCTGGCCTGGTCCAGCCCTAATGATCTCTGACCCCACCCCCACCAGCAGGCACCAGCTGTGGTTCCCAATGCCAGGCTTGTCTTGGTTTAGGAGGCAGCTACAGCTGGAACAGCAGAGTGGGGCAAGAGGAGGGGCAGGGCCGGCTCCCTAGGCCCAGACACGCTGGCACTCCTGGGCCTAAGGAACTCGGGCTCCCCTGGCGGAGCCTTGGAAGGCAAAGAGGGAAGTGTGTGACTGTACTGACAGTGGTTTCCTGGTACTGGGAGAAGCCAGGGTCCAGGGAGTTGGTTAGGGGTGGGGTGGAAGTGTGCAAGAGTCCTGGCTTTGGTTCCCGACCTATCAGGAAGGCTTGTGTGACCCCAGGTAAGCCACTCCAGTTTCTCCTTGTGAAGAAGGAGGAACTTGGGCTGGGTTTTTCAGGCCTCAGGGGATGGTGCCAGCCAAGAGCTCCCTGAGAGTAACTGGAGACTCGGGGAGAGGTAGGGGAGCCGGATGAGGCCCCTCCCAGGCTACCAGCCACCCCGGGGAGAGGTGGCAACAGAGTCTGCCATTCGCCTGGGCACCCAGGGACTTCAGAAGCCCAAGGGGGAAGATGCGAGAAAAAACAGGTTTAAAAAATAGCCAGGATGCCAGCCTCACCACCTGGACCTATCTAGAGGAGAGGACAACAGGGTCTAGATGGCCTGGTGTGTGGTACCTATTGAGACTCCAGGCTGAGCCTCGCCCCCAACTACAAGGAGGTACCTGCGAATCCCGGCTCAAGCCTGAGTCTGTATCTGGGCGCCTGGGAGTCAAAAGATGACCTCGTGGGTTGGACTGGGGAAGGGGACAAGTGGGGTCCCGCTGGCCGCTGACCTGGGGCTAGGGTGCAGGGGTTCCGGTAACAGGGCATTTCCCCAAGCCCCTACCCTACTCCCCCTCCCCCAGGTACCGACGCTGAGCTCCTGCTTCCCCTAGCTGTCCAAAGCAGGGAGATGCTGGGGTCACGCAGGTCTCTTCCTGTGACCTGCAATCCCCTCTGACTGCAGCCCGCACCTGGGGGACCCTGAGCTCCAGTCTCTTCCTCAAGCTTCTGCCCCTCCTCCCCAGCCGCACAGCGCTGGGACGGGAGTGGGAGCACAACGTGACTTCGGGCCACCCCCAACCCCACAAGGCCGTGCCAGGTCGCGCGGGGCCGCAGGTCAGGCCCTATCTCTCCCCTCGTAGCCCGCAGGAGGCCGGTCCGCGCGCCCCGACCCCCTCCCGGCCCGGCGGACGCGCACACACTCACTCCGGTGCCGGCCGCCGCCCCCCCAGCTCTGCTTGGCGAGGCTGGGGCTCCGGATCAGCGCCCGACCAGCAGACTTGAGCGCGTCCATGGCCGCTCCGCCCGACGCCG